CAATTTTAGAAACCGCAGCATCAACTTAAAATTTAACCATTAAGTAGTAGTAGTTGTTATTCTGCACAGAAAGATCTAGGGAGACTACATTAAATTAAATTTAGTCATGCCGGCCACATGACCACAGAGATGTTTTCAGCTTTGAAAGGGAGATGAAAACTGCCCCCTAGAGTTGGGAATGACTAGCAAGGGGAACAATTATTTTTTACAAATATCTCAAGGTGGTAAATATATCCAACACAACTTCCTCCCCCTATTTTCCCCACAACAACAATCCTGTTAGATGGGTTGAGGTGAGAATGAAAGACTGGCCCAACTGGCTTTCATGGCTAAGGCAAGATTTGAACTCATGGCCTGCTCCTTTCTAGCCGGGTGCCTTAACCGTTAGATCAAGCTGCCTCTTCATTAATCAATAATCAGTATAAGACCCGGATAATTTTGTAAGAGGCAGCATAAACTTACCTTTATGTAGAAAAGCCACGGAATAAGACACTTCTTTGGAATTCGTATCAGCCAAACAGTAACACAAACATAAACTTCCTAGAAAGAAAACATATATACAGGTAATCCTCAGCGTACCACCAAAATTGAACTCAGAATTTCTGTTTTTTTTTTTAAAATATATGTTTTACTAACTGATAACCCGGCATTGTCCAGGTATTTATTTATAGGGGGGAAATGTCCGGACCAAACGTAATTTCTAATGTTGGATTTCCCCCCTCCCCCCGTTTCCTAACAATGGCAACTTGAATACAGACATGCAAATGCTTTATGAGTTGTATTGTATTATATTGTATTGTATTGTATTGTATTTAATGGATTTATAGGCCGCCCAATCCCGGAGGGCTCCGGGCGGCTTACAGAAAGTTGACACCCGGTTTCTGGCATGCCGTGACAGTCCATGGACTTGGGCGTTGGGAACCACTGGTCTAGGACAGGGGTGTCAAACTCAATTTCACTGAGGGCCGCATCAGGGTTGTGTTTGACCTCGGAGGGCGGTGTGTGTGCTCCTAGGGGTGCATGGCCAGCTTGACGTCACTCATGTTGGGGGCGCCTGTGGTGTCCCGAGCACTCCGTCAGTGAAAACAGGCTCTTGAGCTCTGTTTTCACCTGCGACAGCCTCCTGCAACCCTCTGCCAACGAAAATGGAGCTCGGGGAGGACCACACGCAGCCCTCACGAGCTCCGTTTTCGGCTGGGCTGGCCTCCTGCAACCCTCTGCCAGAGAAAACGGAGCTGGGGGAGGACCACCCGCAGCCCTCACCAGCTCTGTTTTCGGCAGTGCTGGCCTCCTGCAGCCTTCTGCCAGAGAAAATGGAGCTCAGGAAGGTCACACACGGCCCTCCTGAGCTCCATTTCCGCTGGCAGAGATGCCACGAGCCGGTCCTTTGCTGCTTCCAGGGCAGCCCCATGGGCCAGATCTAAGCACCTCGCGGGCTGTGAGTTTGGCATCCCTAGCCTAGGATATACCATTTAGTAGAGGAAATACCTCTGGAAGACAGGTTCAGTCTGCAGCATAGCAAGAACCAAAAGAGAGATTCTGCAAATTTATAACTCAAAGTTTCCCAATGCTTGTATTCCAAAAACTAGCTTTGCCTCTCTTGTATACAGACCTGTGTCGCTGGTAAATATGTGTAGATCCAAAGGTTTGGGTATCGTTTCTTGGTCTTGGTAATAGCTGTAATTCAAGTTCACAGATCTAGGAAGAGAAAACAGGAGATACTACATCTTTATCTCCAAGAGCTACATTACGGAAGTCCATAATCCACGTGAAAGGAATCAACCGGATTCTCCAACGAAGCACACTTGTCATCGTAAAGATTATTTATTTCAATTCAGTTCAGCTAACTGTTTTTGGAAGGATAAACCCATAGTCCCAGCGACTCCGTGATTTACAGAAATGAGATTAATGAGCAACATGCAAGCTATTTATTGAGGTGGATTAGCTAGGCAGGATTATACTGATACAGCTATTAGCGATTTAAATGCTTATGCAGAATTTTTATCATTTGTATTTGTGAATGTGGGACGTGTTAAGTTTAGTTTTCCTTCTTCCTAGTTTCTTTTAGAGGGTTGTGGGGTTTTTAAAATAAATTTTAATATGCTTTTTCAATTTTTTAAAAAATTGGGTTCACTTTATTCCATTCACAGAAGCATACACACATTGTATAGATACAAAAATACATACATGCATACATACATATATATAATATACACATATAAATGCATATACGTAGATACACACACACAAACACATATACACTATATTGCCAAAAGTATTCGCTCACCCGCCTTTACTCGCATATTAACTTACTGTAAGTGACCTCCCATTCCTAATTCATAGGGTCAATATGACGTCGGTCCACTCTTTGCAGCTATAACAGCTTCAAGTCTTCGGGGAAGGCTGTCCACAAGGTTCAGGAGTGTGTTTATAGGGATTTGTGACCATTCTTCCAGAAGCACATCACACACTGATGTTGGCCGAGTGTACGTGGCCTACCACTTCGTGGCTGAGCTGCTGTCGTTCCCAAACACTTCCACGTTCTTATAATACAGCTGACAGTGGAC